TTTTTTTTTTTTAACTGGTTATCCTGCTCTGGCCACCAAACACTGTCCAGCCAGTGCCAGGCAGGTCGAACCCTGTTTATCACTTCATTACTCATTCAACCATTTTTTTTAATGTTTTTATTTATTTTTGAGACAGAGAGAGACAGAGCACGAGCGGGGGAGGGGCAGAGAGAGAAGGAGACACAGAATCCGAAGCAGGCTCCAGGCTCTGAGCGGTCAGCACAGAGCCCGATGCGGGGCTCGAACTCACGGACCGCGAGATCATGACCTGAGCCGAAGTCTGACGCTCAACCGACTGAGCCACCCAGGCGCCCCACATTCAACCATTATTTACTCCCATCTTTTTTGTCCCCATGTTCTTCCCTGCAGCCTTCCTATAGAATTCCTATAGAATTCATTCCTATCCCTCCCTATGCAAGAGCTGAGCCTGCCCAGAGAAAACCATATACTGTGGGGTCACCATGGGTTCATGCCTCCCCTCCACGGAGCCTCCGGTGCCACCCATCAGTGGCCAGCGACTGCCACATTGACAAGTTCAAAGGTCACTTTTCTTCTCATCTGACTTCACGGACCCCTCCCTTCTCCCACTGATGTCTTCAGCAATACTTCTGAGTCTCCTTCCACCCATAGCTTTCAGAGTAAAGTTCCAACTCCTTAGATTAGCATTCAATATCTTTTGTGATTTGGCCCCTGCCCACCTCTGCAGACTTTTCCTGCCACTGACCTTGCCCTTCTTTACTCCTGGCCCCAAAGAACTTTCTGCTGTGCCCTTCTTCGGGAAAGATCTCTGCGATTCTCTCCCGTAGGTGGGGTTGTGGAATTCGGCATGTGCCTTCATTCCGAAGGCACCTTCTCAGGCAGGGAGAGTATCTCTCTGTTCTTGGTATCTGGCTGAGTGCTTCAGAGCAGGTACCTAGGAAATGGAGGTTGGAGGAAGCTAAGAGCCAAATGGCATTGTGGGAACGTCCACAGCACAAGAAAATGTATGCCTGATGTCACCCTGTACTCTAGATAATACCACCAGCCGTACACACGCCCCTTCACTTTTCCCCAAACTTGGAAAGAAGCCAGTGGCGGCCTGACCTCAGGGATCTGGCGGGGGGGGGGGGGGGGGGGGT